CCTGGAGCCATGGTTTACGACAACTGCTTCGTGGAATCATTTAATTGAAGGATAATACTTATAGGGGTGAAGGAGACAAGCGATTTTAACATTTGAATTGAAATTTGGGATTGGCACATTAACTCCGCCCACGCTCCTTTAAAATGTGACGATGGCGGTTTGCTTCCTGACGCCTATTTACACCTCGTCAGAAAAAAGGCCGCTAATTAGTGATCATATGAAAGGACCTCTTGTTGCAGCGTTTAGATCACCCCTGATGAAGGAACTAGACAGAAGTGTCGAAACGTTGGGTCTATGAATTGTAACTTCTTCAATTACATTCATTAAATCTGCAAACCAGAGTAGCATCAAACTGTCTAAAATTTGGGATTTTTATTTCCTGGTTTTATAATCCAAACTTCATGTAGTAGTTAGAGATCGAAAACATTAATCCCGTGAAAGAATCGTAGGGAGTACCCATATCAAGACGATTACGTTAGAAAATGTTATCGATACAAAAATAAGAAAAAGAGATGGAACAAAGTACATACTTGGTTAAAATATGGGGAAGAAATTCTGCGCGTTGGAAAAAATGTGATCGTAGACGCAGAAATTGGGACGAGAAAATATCCCCTTGAAGCGAAAGATAATCTGAAGAGAAGTAAATTAAGGAAAAGGAAAGAAGTGTTTCTTAAATGGAATTCAACGATGATGACTTGAGCTCACGTGCATATTCGTGTTCCTGTTATTTTGGATGGGGCCATGTTTCCAATAACCTCTCGTGGGATAAACTAGCCTAAACAATATTGCCAACCGCCTCTGCCTCAAATAGTTAAATACTCCATGATGACTAAGAAAATAGGGTATTGGCTTGTTTAGGAGCAAAAATATTCCTTTGCTTCAATCATTTTCAAACAAAGTAGGTGATCTTTGATTTTGGCGGTTAGCTTGCAGCACTTAACCGTTTCTCAGTCAACATCGCCTGTGATGGACTGCCGAAGTGAAATAGCGCGGCAAGGCATAAGAAGTAGATAAAAGAGTAAGTCCAACTTATAACTACGCTTTCTGCTCGTGTTGTTTGTTTAGAGTAGGATTCTCGAAATATCTCTCAGTAGATTCAGTACCATCGATAACCCAATACCTTTGCTAAACAGTTTCGTTGTGAGAGGAAAAAAAACAGTGTTATACTGGGCCCCAACTATCTCCTACCAAAATTTATGCTGATTTAAAAGAGAAGTGTGATTAAAAATATTATTCATGCCATTAAAACTCCTAAATTTAACCGACAAGGTAAAGGAGAAACGCCCCTTAAATTTTAACCCTCTAACTCCCTGATCAAATTTGTAATTCTCCTTACTGTCAACCATACAATTCTTATAATGTTATTTTAAAGAATTTAGCAATGAATCAACTAATTGTCCCCAAATTGATATTTTTCTTTATTCTCATCACTTATCTGGTTGATATTGTGTTGATATTGTAAGGAGAAATTCTGCCTTGGTCACTCATGGGAGTTAAAGGGTTAATTACCTACGTGCTGTTTGTGTTTTATCAATACCCGGATTAGGACACTGAGTTGAAGCAAAATTTGCTAGAACGTAAGTTGGATTATATCAGTCTAGACGTATCGTGGTGATGTAGTCCATGAGTTCGGTATAATTTTAGTAATATCGATTTTGATTTAGCATTAGTTTAAATCAAGATTTTAATTCAAAGGCCAAAGTGTTTTTCAGTTTTAGCTATGGCGTTGGGTTTCCTTAATGTTTCTCTCGTTTCTAACCTCCATTAGTGGAAGTGCTCAGATTGTCTAATAAGCTCACCTTAGACCTGCGCTGATGGTCTTGTTTTTGTTTTGGCAGTCAACGACTGACTGTGTGATCGGAAGCTTTAGATATGTTGTTTTTATTTGTTAAGTCTTGTGAAGGTTTTTAGGTTATTGTTCTGACCACAATGTTTTTCAAAACGTTCAAGGTCAGTTAGCCTGCTGCATGGCAACTCATGCCTACCGCTAGTGAGTATATACATGAGTATGTCCTATACCGGTTCACAGTCAGTCGATCAGTTAGAGAGAGAAGTTCGATTACCGTTTCCAAGAGCGAGCAAGATTCAATAGAAGTCAGAATGGATGAAAAGAAGTGAGAGAAGTGAATTTGCTGCTTGCAGAATTGATTCAGAGAAGAGAAATTGCAGAAGATTGAAAAAGTCTGCTCGCGAGTCATTGGTTTCCTTCGCTAAGCTTGGTACGCTCTCAAGCTAATTTCAACCTAGACACGCGCTAACAGTATAACAAGACATAAAGATTCTCTTTTATAAATAAAGTGTTATCTGAATTTTGTCTTTTCTGGTCAGGTAATGATATTTTCAAAATTGCGACTAGAGAGCTTCGCAAGAAATAATTCTTCCTCCTGTATATTTCTTATGCAGTTAAGCTTGCAGGCGTTCTAGTCGTTCCATCCTATCCCATACGCATGGGCAACGTTCAGTTTTGAGGTGATTGTGACTCATTTTCAACGAGACTCCACAAAACTGTGTCAATTGGAAAATTCGCTCCTCTTAAGTTCTGTCAATCTCCGTCACAAATTCTTCACGCCTGAAATTCCCACCTGGTACAAGCCTAAAATTTCTTGGACTGGGTTGGTATGAACTATGCCTATATATGTTAATCACGAATGAAATGAAGTAATTCATATCAAAAACGCAAGTCTACATATCTCATAATGGATCATGGATCATCAAATATATATATATCACAATGTATGATTAGGCAATAAGGGCTAAAGTAAATGTAGTAAAGCAGTCTGAAGTCCTGCAGTATTACTGGCTGGCTAATTCTCTATTTTGCGCAAGGTTAGTACGTCACGGCCATCCCTATCAGTAATTGCACAATTTTACTAAGTCGCGAAACAATATTTCAAAAGCATAAATTTTGTTAAATACTTAATATGGTGGTAAGCGCGGTAGATTTAAAAGATAAGTAATTGGGCATCGTCCGTAGACGTACATGATAACATTAGATGCAAGTATCAATTTGAATCAACATTGTTAATGAGGGCTGAAAGGAAACAAAGATAGAACATTTCCACAAGATGTGCGGACATTTACACTTGCAATGATGTGGAACTGATCAAAATTTTCAGTTCTTTTTGCATTTTTCCATCACGCTCTTTGTTAGAGTAGGGGGAAGGGCGAATAGATTATTCGCTAATTGCAACTAGGATTAGCAAGTAAGAATCAATCACCTGTATTTTATAGGAGTGTGTAGAGTGTGGAATCCAAACAAGGCAACGCGATTAACTCACCGATAGAATGGTGGCCGGCGTCTATTCTTATTTATATGCCCTCGATAATAAACGTTATTTACGACGATAATCCAAAAATTCCTTTGACAGAATTCCCGTGGAAAATTTCTCTTTAATATTAGGGTAACAATTCGGAACGCGAATGATATAATTATGTAGCCGCGAAATATACTGTGTCTAAATCTCTCCTTTTTTCATAGACAGACAAATTAATCCTTTGACGACAAACTGAAAGAGCAAACCGTTAAAACTGTCAAAACGTTCGATGTAATTAATCCTCACAACATGTTCTGTACTAGATCAATCGACTCCTCGTAACATTTCAGTTACATGAGGGTGGCAAAAGGGGTGTTCCAATCACACATCACGCTGAATTTTTCTATTAAATCACGCATCACGAGTAATGTTCTTAACAAATCACGTGTCAAGCAAAAAAAGGAGTAAGTACACCAAGCAAATACTGTAAGATTTTAACCTATCGGATGTTTTATTAAAAATTTTATTGCATCCAACGTTTTTTATCCCAGAATGAATTGCGTTTCACTTGTCATATTGCTTTTTGTTAGACAAATAAAAAAGACTTACTTGTTGAAAGATGACACTCCGAGAGGAGGGTCTACTCGGACTTCGTATCGCAATCAAATCCTACTTTACAAGTATAGAACACAGTAAAAACAAATCAAGAATCAGGATATTTAACACAAGGGTTAAGCTTAGGTATTTACTATTCAAGTTGCTTCGTTTAATCAGTCCATGAACCTATTCCCTGAGAATTTCTTCGTAAAATAAATACGCGTATCCCAAGGAAATTTCCATTCGGGAATGCATCTCATTTGTCTTAACTGTCGAAACAATCGGTTTTTCTGATGGGTCGGTAAACAACCGGAATTTTTTTCCTACTTATGACGATTTGATCCAACTCATCCGTTTTTTGCTTTTGCTTAATTTACAAGATCATGGTTCATGCCCTAGATAGCACTGGCAGAGATTGATCACCTTAAATATGTTATTATGAAAACTGTGCCAAAGAAAAGTTTAAATAGTTTCTCTACGATCTTTAAGAACAGTAAGAACAGGATAATGATTAATCGAATCAGTGTGTTCCCGTCCTTTGTCCCGTAATTATGCGCAGAAGACAGATATCAAACATTTGTTTATTATCAGAAGGCTCATATCTTGCTTCTGTTTTAGACGGAAACAGAAATACGAGAAGGTTATCGTTTGCTTTCTCTTTATTGCGAACAACGTGGAGTACAACGGGTAACGTTTCATTGACCTTGGGAGCACATCAGCTAAAAATAAGCCAATTAACCTTCTTAATTCCAAAGACTTGAACAATAGAAAAATTGACTGATTTTTAAAACCGGCCAAAAAGTTTGCTGATCAGCAGATATCTTTTAAAGTTGATCATATCATTTCTTTGTCTTAACCGGTATGCACAAAGTTCTTATTTCTATTTTACATTTTTTTGTTCTTTTAAACGCAGATTCCTCCCTGAAATATCAATAATAATTGAGCTTAAATTTTTAATTCCGTCCTTATCTCGCACTTTCTCTCATGCTACGCTACGCATTTCTCGATAATTACTTTTGAGGGTAATAAACCATTTAGAGAGGAAAATGAGACCAGTATGCTGGTCAACATCTTGCTGACTGTTGATTTTGCACCTTTGAAGAAAAAGCAAAGACTACCACACCTATAGTAACGACTCTTGTAAGGAACATGTCTTTTTTAAACAGAAGCGTTTCCCCTGGGCAACGATCGAACTTGCCTGTGGCGTCTAATTGTGAAACAGAACTTCAAGAAAACCATCCTGCCGAAGCAGAAGATAAGCTCTTCCTTACCAAAAAGGAAACTGAAACGACCATTGACAGTCAAGAGCAACTGAATGCTATTTCAAACGGGAATATGAGCAGTGGTAGTAGTTTGCTGCAAACTGCTGTTGAGAAGAGCGATGCCAGTCAAGGTCAGATATTGTATCGTGTGGCTCTGCTGGCTATGTGCCTTCTCTCAGCAGTTTCTCTTGGGCTCACCTTGCTGATGTTGTTTGGTGTACTTCACGTTGGTTCACCGCGATGTACCTGCTCTGGAGAAACAGGTATTTGCAGATTTACAAGATGTTTAATTCTAAATTTTCATTCATATCTTCAAATTGATCGTGCGTTAGATACGCTTCTATTTTGGATCAATTTTCGCTGCGAAAGCGAGTCTCAGCCTATGGAAGATCACATAAAATTGGCCTGGTAAGGTAAAATAAATAAACGTTGGTAAGACCACGAAATCCAAACAAGATCGAGGTTGAATAGGTATGGACAAGCGTGTGACGTACTGCAAATTTAATCAAATTTACGCCCAAATCGTGAGGAACCTTTTTTTTATTACTATTAGTACTATTATTTTGAGTTTTGTGTCAGTGTTGCGGATTTTGTAATTCTGTTTTAAGTTTGTGTTTGTGTTGTAGAGTTTTGTGTTAGTGTTGCGGATTTTGTGATTCTGTTTCACGTTTGTGTTTGTGTTGTAGGTTTTATAACTCTGTTTTGTTCTTACCGGCCACCATAATTTCATCCTTTTATATCCTTTTATAAATATTGAGCATCGAAATATGTGAAAAATGTTCAAACACCGCAAAAGAGCATTAGGGGAGTAAGCGGTAAACATAATCCGGAAAGCCGAAAATATTGACTACCCTAAATTTTTCGTGGTAATCAAATTTGAAAAACAACGAAGCCTATTTTTGCATTGTAATTATTTTCGAAAAACTCCTTGGATCTCAAGAAGTATAGGAACATCCAAGTTTTAATTTCTACATCGCAGTGAATTAGTTGCCAGTAGTCGGATCCTAGTGTTTGCGGCAAAGATTTCCGGGATCGCCAAGGGGCAAACATTGCAAGTTGCTAGAGGGGAATATATGGCGAAAGGTTGTGTCGAGATCCAAAAAATCCATTTTGGAGATAAGGCATCGCTGTTTCCCGCTGTTTCATCATAAATCGATCTAGGTAATGTTGATACGAGGGAAGCATAAGTTTTTCATTGAATAACCTTGATATGTGATAAAACCTACTGATAAATTTCCCCAACGCATGAATGTGTATTTTGAAATTTGCATCGCATAATGGTCTCGAAGTTTAGAAAAATTAGCTATAACTCGCTAGGAAATAAATCCACAAAACCTTCTAAATTTTATTTCATGTATTGAGTCTACTTTTGGCTTTTTTCTTGGCTTCGTGATTCCAAAGAGCTACCTCGAGGTAGCTCGAGATTGAAATGGTTTGCTCGAACATAACATTATCATGTCACGTAGAGTGATTTCACACTTAAGTTGACCTTAGCTACGAGGAGCAATACTTCAATCATTATAGTTATCTTTAATAAAAAAAAATCAACTAACGTATTTTCATTTTTGTCTCTTTAAATTATACTATAGCTACTAATTCTCTAGTTGGAAAATACTCAACAGCTTAATGCAGTCCTCTGCGAACTTTTTATCGTCTGTTCTTTCGTATATTTATTTCCACCAGAGGCGTCGGAGCTTGAAAAGAATGTGCAAGAGATGAAAAGGAACCTCTCGGCTTTGCGAGAATATTCGGTAAGAGCATTTTTTTTTATCCTTTGGAAGTACAAAAGCTCGCTGATGTATATTTTTTGCACAGTATGTACACTAGATTACGGATTTCGAACATTTTGTAACAGCTACGACTGGTCAAAATGGTTATAAAACTATTTTTTTTCTCCATCGATTTGTTTTGGCTTGTCCCCTAACTCGACAACATAATGAAAATCCGTTTATAAGCCAATGAGATTACGGAGTGTCCTTCCTTGCTTCAAAAAAATTTTACGCTTACCTTTGATCTATACGGTAACCATTCTCTCAATGAATGATTACATATATTTCACGCCAGAAAGCTTTTTTCTAAGAACCCCATTTTCCAGCTACTGTCTCTCTTAAATACTTAATCCAATCTATCTGTTAATTATTCACTGATACCTTGTGTGTTGGCCAATAGAGAATCAATTATAGCAGTTTTGGCAGCAACTATTTTTTTCTTTTTATTACCATGGAATATATCTTCACTCAGGCTGATAAAAAACCCTTATGAGCCTAACAGGTGTCAACAAGTCATCTTGACCATTAATTTCATTTAATTTATTGTTCTTTTTTATGTTTCTTTTGATCTACACTGATTGATGCCCCCTGCAAATTGACAATTTTTGGGGGTGGTAGAAAAAACGTGACATTACCCAAAATATGTATCGTATGTTTCACCCATTAAAGAGCACCATATTTTGCTCTTTTTCAGGACCAAAATACAAAAGAAATCTGGCTCGCAATACAGAGTGCACCCTGCACATTGAGCGAACTAAACACAAGTGTGAATGAAAAGCTTCTTTATTTTCGACAGCAGATTCTGCAGCTTGATCAGAAGGTGCGTGCAGCTAAATGCGGTTAAGGACTGACTGAGCTTTTAGCTTTGGTCTCTAATTTAAATTATAAAGAATTAGCGGCCCTAACTTACATAAAATCAAGTAGGGGACGTTAATTATGTAACGTAAATGAAACTTAAAAGCTAAGAAGCTACATTGAATGGAAAGGCTGCTAATTCTTAGCTGTTACGATCTCGCATCAGTAAAAGTTCACTGGTTTCAATTTTTCACACTTGTTTCCTAAACCAGAAAATAATATTCTTAGTAAAAAAGGAATCTAAGATCTAGAGATTCTCGAACAATAACATACGACAAGACCACAGAACGGTATCTCAATTAGATTATTACGCGCTTGCAATGTAAGCCTGATAATAAGGCCTACTTTAGAAGTATTGTGTCAGGCAGTACTTCCCTTGGTAGTAGTTCATCCAAAATTAATAAAGATCACATGATTTACCTTTCAAGGTAAGATATGCTTGAATCGACTTTTTCCTTCCGCAGATCCTAACAATTAAACGTTTTGAGAGATCCTCTAAAATCTCAACTACCGCCTAACTAGAGAGTTAGCCAAGATTTTTCCATATTTTCAGGATATTTCTTCTAGTTATTTGCTTCGCTTTTGCTCTCTTTTAAAATAATCTCTTTGAGAAGCACTTCTAGTTGATAAACTAGAACAGACTTAGAATTGCAAATTGTAGTTGATTTTTTTACAGCAGTACGACATAAAGGTTTATTTAATTGTCTAGGTGAAAAATACAAATAGCAGCAGGAGCATCGTGATAGGACCACCTGGAGTCAATGGTAGTAATGGTGAAGTTGGACCTACTGGACTTCCCGGACCACCAGGATATGATGGTACTAAGGGTGACATTGGACCTGCCGGACCTGTCGGACGTGCCGGACCTCCAGGATATAATGGTACTCAGGGCCCTGCAGGACCATCTGGACCACCTGGTGTTCAGGGCCTTCGTGGACCATCTGGGTATAATGGTACTCAGGGCCCACCTGGACCCGGGGCCAGTTCCTGTGTTTTTAAGACTTTATCGAGCCCTGGCATGGCAGCATCCTCGATCGCCCGACAAGAAATTACAGCGACGGAACCAAACGTAAGTTGATTTTAATATCGAAAAAGTTGTTTTATTCTGAAAAAAAAAACAGACAAGCAAACAAATCTTTTGTTGAAAATTACTTTGCGACATGTTAACAATGTTAAGACAAGTTTTACTGGTCCAAGGAGTTGTCGGAAGTCGCCAAGCTTCACTTTAATTCAACAAGTACAGTTTTTATTTTTAGCCTTAGGCCGCATTGATTTTGAGAATCAGAGCTAATTTTCTCTCTTTAAGTCTTAAATCTCCATCATCGTATACAAAAAAGACGAAAGGTAAAAAAAAAGAAAGGAAACATTTAACAACCTGTTACAAACAAGTTTATTTTGCTGCTAAATATGAGATAAGATGTGGTTTTTTTTTTTTTTTTTTTGACAATTCCATACCTTTCAGGATATCTAAATGGTCATTTCGAATTCTATAATCCCACACAGAGTGATTATCTCCTCTCAAAAAGGTATATTTTCCTTCTTGCGTTCCAAGATATGAAGGCCGTATTCATGATAACATGATTTAAGAACGGAGAATTTGCAACAAGAATTCTCCGAACTATAGCCGTGGGCTTTCTTCACGTCAAGTGTTCACTCATAAAAATGAGTGTACACTTGCCTATTCACAAAGAGGAAAGGGATGTTTTTGTCTTCTGCATTTCGAACTCTTGACGTAATTTATCATTATCTTTAGAATCATTTTTTTTTTCCCGCCAGGGTAAGACGTTTATTGGCGTAAACTGTGATACAAATGATGCAAAAGTTGCTAAATTATCAAGCACCATCTCAGGTGGAAAGAGAACCTATAAGTGCTATTGCGAAGGAACCTTAACAACTGGAGAACCAACGATGTATTGCTACATGCACAACTGGGAGTGTCAGATATAAGAGGGAAAACGGAAGGCCATTCGATGAACAGGAGTCTTTGTGAAGACAGTAACAGGGTGTTGAATCAAAACTAGAGGAAGAACTTTATTTTTACCTTTCTAACATTAGTGCAAATTTTCAAATATGCTCAGTTGAAGCCAAATAAATTATTACAAATAAATATGAATGGAAAAGCGAAGCCAAAAATAAATGAGTCAAATCCTAGAAAAAAAAAAATAGTGTGGTTTTTGTTGCTGTTGTTGTTGTTTCTCAGTTTCTAGGAAATAGACCAATTTCCCCTTGGGGACAATGCTTCTATGGATCACTAACAACAAGTAAAATCGTCTTTGCCAACAAATCCAACAGAACAGGTGTAAGATGTATCGTTTCTGCCTAAATCCATCGGCAGACAGCGTAATGAGTTACGAAAGTTAATTCTGAAAACTTGTCGAAGACGTGAAAAAGGCTGTACCACGCTTCCTCATTTACTCACGGGTTATTTGCTTGATACAGTGCTTTGGTTGACTCCCACTCACGATTCTCGGCTTCTTCTAAAAAAAAAAAAAAAACCTCAACGTCCCGTTGTGAGCACGTGGAACAGTGCCATATATGGAGCAATAAAACACGAGCCGCATACATGCATGTTTAGTTATGTATAAATAAAAGAAATCACTCATAAATGTCCATAGGAACAGTTAACGCATTGTACAGTTTCCAACAAACTATATCTCTGTCATAAACTTATTTTTAAGACATAGTCGTTCCAGAATTTCCTAATTTACCGTTACAAAAAAAATGAAAGGATATTCTTTCTGCATCGAGTCACATCCTACTGCGGTTTCATTGCCCTGGCTTTAAAACTATTTAAAACTAGGGTCTTAATAGTAGTTTAGTGTTGATCTTTTGGTGTTTCGTCCGACCAATCACTTAACGCGACTTAAGGTCCCAGGGCAGACAAATGTATAAACATTAACGACTGTCATCTTGAATATACATCTCAAGTGTGCATTTTGTCTCAAAAAAGATTCCAGTACCAACTTCATGCAAGTTCCATACTTTTATTAACACAGAGCTATCTTTGAAAGAGGAAAATAGAGTCATACTGTTTTCCATATCAACATTCCACCAAAGATATACTCAAAACTGCGATAGGAATAATAAACTGAATGTGTTTCGTGGCTTAACATCTCTGGAACACGTCAGTCCGGATTAAATACTAAATTTCAAGCAAATCCAAAGACGTGGATGTATCGTCAGCCAGGATCTATCGAATGACAGCATAACTTCGGTGACAAACAGGCTTACATCACCATTCTCGGTCAGGTGAATGTTCTTTTCAATGATAAGCATTATTGCGTATATTTTCAGGCCGCTTGGGTGCCAGCCATATTTCACTGTTCCACAATAGAAAGCCGTCAGTGATGATCATATGATCAAATTTCATTGGATTCTAGAATATCTTCGACAAGCCTAAGCTTGTTTAACTTCCAGAAGTGTCTAAAGAGAATCTCTTTCAAAACCGGCACAATCGTACGAGGCAATGATGGATCTTAGGAACGAGGTCGGGCATAACAATATGTCTTTCCAAATGGAATCCGAAGTGGAACATGACGCCCAAACTTGTGACGATAAAGCTATAAGAAACGACACTCCTCAGGCAAAGCCAAAAGTGAAAGCACAGCCGTGTAAGGATTCCGATACAGAGAAACTTCAACGTTTACTTTTTATTGCATGCGCCGTTGCCTTTGCTTCATTGTTGACAGCCTTTGCCACTTTGGTCTTAGCTGTGGCAATCATGACGGTACGGAGCGAGGTTTCGACATGTACCCGTACACCTTCCGCAGCCCTTCCCTGTGGTAAGTAAACACTCATAACTATTGATCTCTTCAAATTTTAAAACTGCCACTAATTAAACGATACGATGAAGCAGGAAGTAGTCTAAAAAGTGCTGACCAATTTCTGCCCATAGAATAACTAAAATGAACTTCCTCTTGGATATAATTTAAGCATCCTTCACTTATAACTAAGATTCCATGAAATCGTGTCAGTCTAAGTAAAAAGATACTCATCTCGCTTAAAATTTCCTATCTCTTACTGGAAGGAGAGATTTGAGCAGAACTGCAGACTTTATACCTGTTTTGCTAGCACTTTCCTTACAGTGATCATTTGAATATGAACTTTACGAAAATGACCATAGCTACAAGGAGCAATCCTTCCATCATTATATTTATCCTTAATTAATTAAACTCTACGTAGTCAACCCCTTGGGTCGATCGTGCAAAATTGCACGATGACGTTGGCCTTTTCGGAAATGTTCGTATTACATCCAATCGTTCCGAAATTCCGACTGTAACATGTAGATATTCTAAGCCAATCACATGGCGAGTTTTAGCTCCGAACTACCAAACGTGACCTTGGGAGCCGGTTCCGAAAAATCATTTGCGTACGATTTCAATCTGCGACAATAGCGTTCGATGCGAAACGCTAGAGATACAGCGTACCTAAGGCTTCAGGGACGATTGGAAGTGGTATGTCTAGTGGTGAGGAATCCGAATTAGACAGAAGACTGGAGAATCCTAGCGAAGAATCGAGGTAAGTAATCTGTACAGTCTTGCGATATTTAACTGCGTGACGCATGTGGTGTTGAAACAGTGTAAAATTACATTTACTTTTACTTTTCGCGCACAAATCCTTGTTTTTTGCCTTGAGACAAACCTGTAAATGTATATCTGTGAATGAAAAGCAAAATATATTGTTATCAAACATGATTTTGAAGCGACAGAGTACATAAAGTTCAATGGAATTTTATAACGCAACGGCCTAAATTATCAGCCAACCACAGATCGAATGACGCAGTGTGCGTCCGAACTAAATCAAACAAAATCTTTAATTTTTAAAACGATGCTTTTATATATATCGACCTGTACATTATCTTGTATGTTTATTAGATGTGGTTCTACTTGTTACATGCCGAAAATTCACAAAACAAACAAGTTATGCTCAAAAATGAAAATGTTTGAGTGGAATGATATAAAATGACAGTTTCGGGTTTCACTTCTGAATTGTTTTACTCTTGAAAAATACTGGTGGTGCATTGCAAGTGAAAGGCTTTTGATATATGTTGCGCTTTATGTGTTTTGGGGTTGATTATCCCATTTGTCCTTATTTCAAGGCAAAATTTCAGAAGTCAAACAAAGAAATATAGTTCCAATGGTTGCACTGTAGACTTCAAAATTTACATTGGGAAAGATTCTGCAAGAGGGATTAGTAAATTTGGGCTTGGGCATGATGTTAAGATAAGACTTATTAGTCCGTACTTCAATCGTTGTTCACTAAATATGTGTAACACATCTCAGATTTATTATTTTCTAACCAATTTTTATGGAGATGTTGCTCATATAACAAGGAACTTGTTTAGTTAATTTTTGCCTCATTACTTTATATCACTTGGGTATCACTTAATTCACAGTTCAAATTTTGATGATATTTTATGCTAATTAGTGTTAGTTTGAAAGCATTCAATGAGGTTGTTTCCTTTTTCTTGGAGAAGAAACATGCATTTCAGGAAAGCTTATTTACTGCTGTTTCAATTGAGGTATAGCTTACTTCCCTTGTGTATACTCGGTGTGGAATAAATTTTTCAATAATCTGGGTCAATTTTTATGGTTTTGGGGTACAGTTTGGAAAAAAAATTAATTCTGTATTTGTTCTTTTTCAGCCAGATTCTCCGGATATCTTGCCCGTAACATAAGGAATATTTTATCTTGAAATGTTTCCTTGTAACTCCCCTCCATTCAGGCCCAGGCTGTTTCAAAGTCAAACGTTGTCTGATAATTTATGCAAGTTGTATGCCATTTTCTTAGCATGATTTAAAATACATGGAGTTTTGAAAGCAATTTTTTTTTTCTGTAAAGCTCATTTCTTATTTTGTCCTCTTTCAAATGAGATATAGCGCTACTCACTAGTGTAAATACTGTTATAAAAAAATAAAAGAAAAAAGGTTGTCGTCACTTGCCATTTTTTTATGTCTACTACTGGCGTATATTTTTTTTTGTCTCTTTGAACTATATCATAGCTACTAATTGTCTAGGTGAAAAATACCCAACAGCTTAATGCAGTCCTTTGCATATTTGATATAGTCTCTTCTTTCATATATTCATTTCCACCAGGGGCGTCAGAGCTTGAAAAGAATATTCAAGAGATGAAAAGGAACCTCTCGGCTCTGCGAGAATATTCGGTAGGAGCATTTTTTTTTTTATCATTTGAATTAATGGGTGAAATACAACACTGTATACACTAGATTACGGATTTCACAGCCAGACAGGTCGAAATAACTATAAAACTATTTTTCTTCATTGATTTGTTTTGGCTTGTCCCCTAACTCGACAACATAATGAAAATCCGTTTATAAGCTAATGAGATTACGAGTGTCCTTCGTTACTTCAAAAAATTTAACGCTAACCTTTGATCTATACTCTTCTCTCGATGAAGGATTACATATATTTCACACCAGAAAGCCTTTTTCCAAGAGCCCCATTTTCCAGCTGCCGTCTCTCATAAATACTTAATCCAATCTATCTTATAATCATTCACCAATATCTCATGTATTGGCGTATAGGGAATAAATTATAGAAGTTTTGGCAGTAACTGACTTTTTTTTTTTTTAGCAGGCAATGCAATGTATCTTAATTCAGGCTAATAGGAACCTTTATGAGCGTAACTGATGTCAACAAGTCATCTTGATCATTAATCTTATTTTAAGTTTTGTTTTTCTAATGTGCTCCTTGTGACATACACTGATTGATGCCACCCGCAGAGTGACAATTTTTGGTGGTGGTTGAAAAAACGTGACATTACCTAAAATATTTATCGTATGCTCCACCCATTATAGAACACCATATTATACTCTTTTTAAGGACCAAAATACAAAAGAAATCTGGCTCGCAATACAGAGTGCACCCTGCACATTGAGCGAACTAAACACAAGTGTGAATGAAAAGCTTCTTGATTTTCGACAGCAGATCCTGCAGCTTGATCAGAAGGTGCGTGCAGCTAAATGCAATTAAGGACTGACCGAGCTTTGAGCTTTGGTCTCTAATTTGAATTAGAAAAATTTAGCGGTCCTAAGTTACATAAACTCGAGTAGGCGACGTTAATTATATTACATAAATGAAACTTATAAGCTATGAAGCAACATTGAATGGAAAGGCTGCTAATTCTTAGCTGTTACGATTTTGCATCAGTAAAAGTTCACTGGTTTCAATTTTTCATACTTTTTTCCTACCCAGGAAAATTATTCTTAGGAAAATAGGAATCTAAGATCTAGAGATTCTCGAACAAAATAACACACGACAAGACCACAGAACGTTATCTCAATTAGACCAGTATGCGCTTCCTTTGTAAGCCTGATAATAAGGCCTGCTTTAGAAGTATTGTGTCAGGCAGTACTTCCCTTGGTAGCTGTTCATCCGAAAATAAATAAAGATCACATGATTTACCTTTCAAGTTAAGAAATGCTTGAATCGACTTTTTTCCCTCGCAGAGCGCATCGATTGGAGGTTTGGAGAGATCCTCTAAATTCCCAACTACCGCCAAACTAGAGAGTTAGCCAAAGTTTCTCCATATTTTACCATATTTTTCTCATTATTTGTTTCAATTTTGCTTCGGTTTTGCCCTCTTTGAAAATTATCTCTTTGAGAAGCACTTCTAGTTCATATATTAGAACAGACTTAGAATTGCAAATTGTAGTTGATTTTTTTACAGCAGTACGACATAAAGGTTTATTTGATTGTCTAGGTGAAAAATACAAATAGCAGCAGGAGCATCATAGGAACACCTGGAGTCAATGGTAGTAATGGTGACGTTGGACCTACTGGACTTCCCGGACCACCAGGATATAATGGTACTAAGGGTGACATTGGACCTGCCGGACCTCCAGGATATAATGGTACCAAGGGCCCTGCAGGACCATTTGGACTACCAGGCGTTCAGGGCCTTCGTGGACCATCTGGGTATAATGGTACTCAGGGCCCACCTGGACCCGGGGCCAGTTCCTGTGTTTTTAAGACTTTATTGAGCCCTGGCATGGCAGCATCCTCGATCTCCCGACAAGAAATTACAGCGACGGAACCAAACGTAAGTTGATTTTCATATCGAAAAAGTTGTTTTATTCTGAAAAAAAAAAACAGAGATAAAACAAAACAAAACAAAACAAAATAACAAAAAACAAATCTCCTATTGAAAATTACTTTACAATATATTAACACTCTTAAGACTACATTTACCGGTCCAAGGAGTTGTCCAAAGTCGTTAAGCTTTACTTAGATTCAGAAATTTCATTTTTCATTTTCAGCCATAGGCCGCATTTATTTTGAGAATCAAAGCTAATTTCCTCTCTTTGAGTCTTAAATCTCCATCATCATACATTAAAAGAAACGTAGAGTTAAAAAAAAAAGAGAGAGAATAAATTTAACAAGTTCATTTTGCCGCTAAATGTAAGATTTCTTTTGGACAATTACATACCTTTCAGGATATCTATATGATCATTTCGAATTCTATAATTCCACAAGGAGTGATGATCTCCCCTTAAAAAAAGGTAAATTTTCATTCTTGCGTTCCAAGATGTGAAGGCTGCATTTATGATAACATGATTCGGGAACGGAAAATTTGCAACAGGGATTACCCGGATTGTAGCCGTCGGCTTTCTTCACGTCAAGAGTTCACTCATTGAAATGAGTGTAAACTGGCCTATTTACAAAGAGGAAATAACTGTTTTGGTCTTTTACATTTCGAACTCTTAAAAGTAATTTATCACTAGTATCTTTTTCTTTTCCGGCCAGGGTAAGATCTTTATCGGCGTAAACTGTGGTACAAATGATGCAAAACTTGCTAAATTATCAAGCATCATCTCAGGTGGAAAGAAAGCCTACAAGTGCAATTGCGAAGGTACCCTAGCAACTGGAGAATTAACTATGTATTGCTACATCAACTACTGGGAGTGCCAGTCATAAGGAGGAAAACGGAAAGCCGTTTGATGAACAGGAGTTTTTGTAAAGAGCATAACAGAGTGTTGAATCAGAAACGAGACGAAGAACAATTTTTTTACCTTTTTAACATGTGCTATTTTTCAAATATGCCCAGTAGATGCCAAATTAATAATTACAGAGAAAGATGAATAGAAAAGCGACGTCAAAAATAAATGAGTCAAATCCTAGAAAAAAGTGTGTTTTTTTTTGTTTGTTGGTTGGTTGGTTGGTTTTTGTTTTTGTTTTTGTTTTTTTCAGTTTTTTGGAGCAATAGTCTGTAAGTTTCGAACTTAAAAAAAAAAAAAAAAACGGCCACTTAACCTTGCTGATGCGGCTGAGATTCGGCATGAAGGCTAATTTTAGGGTCTTAACCACGAAATGGGTATTTAAAAGTTCCAGTTGTTTTTGCTTGGCAAAAAATCGATAAGCCGACCATGTCCGCCCATACTTGAACAGTAAAAAATGTACCCCAACTTGTTAGCCTGATATCTCCAATGTTACCTCGATCCAGAAGTTGCCATTTATTTGAAAGAATGTCTGTTTATGGATGAATTGATTGAATTAATAAAAAAATTGGGGAAATTTAAAGGTCAAAGGAGAACAGTTATTAATCTATGATGACTGAGCTATATTTGGGACCAGCTCCTAAATCAGAAATAAAGTCCAAGTATTTATTTCGTCCAGAATGAAGGCAAATTCCAGAAGTTTTCCTAATGTTACGGAAGTATCTGTTGATTTTGGGCAAAATCAAATATGTCTGGGCGACATTGTCGGAATGGGATAAATATTTGGTTACCCAATGAATGTAAAGAATCGATCCGGTATTAACGCTCGGAAGGGTTGATTTCGCTTACCGTTTCGAAAAAGAAAAGATTCTTGTGAATTCCAAACTAGTTTATTTGGTAGTGATTGGTGACCTGCTCAAAATCAGAGCCTGTAAGCTACATTTGCAGTTGATCCTTGTCACGCCAACGGTTTAGATATCCTTCGTTAGCTATTACGTAAATTACATCATGTTTTTGAGTAGGTCTTAATTTCGTTTTTAGTTTGTTTCAATGTTCTTAACAGTATAAAGGTAACCCAACGTTTCAGAATACTTCCGTACAATTTTTTTTCCACCAACGGTGGGCGCAAAATGTACACATGAAGCGCCCTAACTAAGGGCACAGACATGAGTGTTGTTTGAAATAAACGTCACCTCGTTGGAATGCGCGCGCAATCGCTAATTGAGTTTGCTCTAAGATCTATTTTGCTTTGAGAGGCTGTTCGTGAAGGATATTTTTCTTCTTTCGATGACTTTAAACAAGCCCTACACTTAATCTATATGAAAAACGAAACTATGAATTCGAATTCAGAATCCTTATTCATCACTGAACTGTCGGTCGTAGCGAAAAGAGAAGTTAAGACCCAAGACCTAAGAAACCATATCTCATTTATTTTTTGATGGCAATGAGAGAAGTACGGAAGCCGAAAAGGGAAAATCCAAAATATTTTGCAAATCCGAAAAAATATTCAGAATCGATATCTTTTAGACAAATTGCTTTTGAAAAGTTTGTCAAATCGACAAAACAAATTCAAATTCGTGACTTTCTACTCATTTACCGAGCTTTAAAACTCTAGACCCTGCAGATCTTTAGTTCTTTAACCCTCTAGAAAGACTTACATTTCCGGTTCAAATTCCCCACCCCAGCCACGTAAGGTTCAAATTTCCCGTTCCTCAGGCACGGAAGACAGTTAAATACCCGTGAGGTGCCCGAGTACCTACTCTAGCCCTTCTCAAAGACGCATCAACAACGTTTAAGCCCCATAAATGAGGCGTTATGTCTCGAGTGCATCGTAAAAGGGATAAGCACTCGCTCGACTGCATGGTATGTCCGAAACTATCCTCGGCAAACCTCAAGAAACCACTCTTGACCAAAATTATTCTAGAACATTTCTCCATGCAAAGAACTGGAAAATAAACTGAAGCAAAAAGGGAAGTTAATCACTGACATGATGAGTTTGGCTTTTTGTTAAAAACGAGAACTTTTCCAATTTTTTACCTCATTTCAACATCTTGGTGTTCGCTACAAAATCAAAACAAATTTCAATTTTTGTACCTGTTGTGGGCAAACTTGTTCAAGAAGTATGAAGGAGAGTAAAATGATAAAAAACTAACCTTATCTAAACAGGATCCTCAGATAAAGCAATAAATGTCATTTTTTAGACTGAAGAATAAACTCGATTGCTTGTGCATTCTCACTAGTTCAAGTTGATGTCTATCTCAAACTACATTCCGTTTCGTGTGTGTGGCCACTGCCAGAGTGTATTACGTTGATACCAGTTCACGAGACACTTTTAAGACAAAATAAGAGCATTTAGGGCCCAAAAATAACCGAGTTTTAAGTTTTTTGAAATTTCCTTCTTTCGGAATTGGTTTGTACACATGATAAGCTAAATATTTACGCAAAAAAAATCTTGCCATAGGCACTTTAAGTCTTAGAGGTCTGTTTAGAAGTTTAATCGACATTTGAAAGAATGCAAATATCCCGTCGGTGTCATCGAAGACGTTACTTTTGAACGTGCAAGAACATGTCTCGAAGCTAAAAACAAGCACCTTAATAAAGGAGGGCAAAGGTAATAGACCCAATGCAGCAGAAGCCCTAAGCGATGATTAGATCAATATTATCTGTGAAAAAAAATCTCCTGGGAATTTCAAACGGAGAAGCATTGATAAACACACTTCGACTCTTCAATTTACCGATTTTTCAATTATTATTTTGGTCCAAGAGGATATGGAGAGCATCGGAAAACGTGCTGGGGAGGCGTTCAACTCCTGAAAGATGCAGATGGAACTTAATATTTGCATTTTTCTGAAAGACAAACTAAAACCAGAAGTGGAGCTGATCCACGTAGTGTTCGACCCATCAAACCTAAAGCTTTCGCGATTACAGATTTACCGCGCAAACGAGATCCTGTTGTTGTTTTCAAGGTCTATTCTGAAAAGAGACCAAAGTCCATGAACAAACCAAATGCACTCTGAGTACTAATAATACTACAAAAAAAATCTGATAAAAGTTGGTCTAAAGCCAATGAAATGGAAGTTAATACTCTAATGAAAACAATGGCTGAGAAGGCCGGTCTTGACAATTTTCACCTTACGAACTGCAGTGCTCAAACACGAATTATTCAAACAAAGCAAAGCCGCGCTCGTTCGTTTTGTGAAAACAAACTCGTGCGTATAGTATAGTACGTCAGCACCTTCCATGAAGAATTATATATATATATATATATATATTCCCTAATTATTAACTTTTTCATGGCCACACAACCAGAAAATGAAGTTCGTTTGTTGGTTGTACTGTTGGCTGTCTTTACCGACACATTATTGCCAAGGCTTGTCCATTTTGTTGGATAACATGTACATGTATCCATCATCTCATCGTGATTTCAATTTCTTGTGTGAAAATAATTTCGAGAAGCTGTGCTCGGCTGCGTGAAACTATCTGTTCAGTCGAAAAATCCAAAATATCACTTTAAAAGAAAATGATAGTCATCAAGGCGTTTTCATGTGATAGTAAGTGTTAAATCTGGAACTGGAAGAGAGTTGTGTGAATTTCACATGCCATGTCGTGTTCCTCTCTCCCAAGGCTTTTTTGGCTCATAATCCTCCTTTGAGTTCAGCAAATCATAGACAAAGAACATTAAAGTGAAACTCTTTTCACCTAATCCGTTTCTCACGCAAACCCTTTTTTTTACATCATGGGGTATTTGGTTTTTCGGTTGGTGTAAGGAGTTGAGACGAGTTTAGATAACCTGACGTGACATAAAGTCACAAATATATAAAACCAACGACTGTAATCTTGACTATACATCTCACGTGTACATTTTGTCTCCAGTACCAACGTCTGGAAAATTCAATACTTTTTCTAACTCAGCACATTTGCTCTACGGTCCTATCTTGGGAAGAGCAAAATTTGCCTTTTCAACATTCCACCACAGCTTACGAAGATATCATGCTGAGGCCAATTAAAACTGCCTTAAGAAACATAAACTGGATGTGTTTCCTGGCTCAAAATCTCTGGAACACTTCAATCCGGATGAAATTATTTTCTTTTATTCTCTTGTTTTTTCCTGTCCCCTAACTCGACAACGTAATGAAAATCCGTTTATAAGCCAATACGAGTACGAGCCTTCTTCGTTGCTTCGAAAAATTTAGCGCTAACCTTTGATCTATACTCTTCTTTAGGAGAATAATTACATATATTTCATACCGGAAAGCATTTTTCTAAGAGCCAAATTGTTAAGCTACTGTCTCTTATTAAATACTTAATCCAATCTTTCTATTAATCATACGCTGATGCCGACAAAAATCCTTATGAGCCTGACAGATGTCAACGAGTCACCTTTATTATTAATTTTATTTTAATTATTGTTTTTCTTATGCTTCGTGTGTTCTACACTGATTGATGCCACCCGCAGATTGATAATTTTTGGGGGTGGTTGAAAAAATATGACATTATCAAAAATATTTATCGTATGTTCCACTCATCATTGAACACCATAATCTGCTCTTTTCCAGGACCAAAATACAAAAGAAATCTGGCTCGCAATACAGAGTGCACCTTGCACATTGAACGCACTAAACACAAGTGTGAATGAAAGGCTTCCTGATTTTCGAAAGCAGATCCTGCAGCATGATCAAAAGGTGCGTGCAACTGAATGTAGTCAAGGACTAACTGAGCTCCAGACTTAAGTCTCTTATTTAAATCATTAAAAAAATTAGCGGCCCTAACTTCGGTCTGGTAAAGTTTAACTTTACGCAAACTTTTTCATTGAATGTAAATCTGGCTCTTCAGCTTTAAGTTACCTTTACGAAAGCTTTATATCTGATGACGTAAATCCGCCTTTACGCGCCTTTACGAGCATTATTATTCTAGCGTAAAGTTACTTAACGAACTTTAGGCAGAATTACGCAACTTTAATTTTCCGTAATTCTCTTTTTTCATGCTGTGAACGTGACGATATCATTTTTTTCAGAACTTGCAAAGAATGCCCCAGATTGTGGCAGTCGGCCTTCGCTACGTCATAAATGATGAAAAATGTACACCTAACCGTTCAAAAACAGGAAAGAAATGTTTTAGTCTTCAGCACTTCGAACTATTGACGTCGTTCATT